GTTTCCCCTTAGCTTGAGGGATGCGACACGGCTGCGACACTCGCGCGACACACGCGAACGCTTCGCGAACGCTTCGCGGGCGCTTCGCGAACGCTTGCGAACGCTTCGCGAACGCTTTAACAACGATCCCTGGTCAACTATTGGACCCCTGGACCCCAACCTTTAAAACGGGAACCCTTCTGCTGCGCATTCGGGAAAAAAGCCCTAAAATCCAAACCTGCTAAGATCCTGCAGGGAACCCAAAAGCGAACTTAAGTCTAAATGGAGACCTTGCGGAACCCAAGAGGACACTGCCTGACTGCTCCGGTCTAAAGAAGAGTCGGTTCATGTTCGCCAACTCGACCTCGCAGTCCGTGGCTTCAGGGTTAGGACTCAGGATGCAGGGCTTAAGGGCTTTAGAGGTTTGCCAGGGCTTTTGGGCGGGTGGATTGGGCCTTTGTGCGGGCTCGAGTCTGTGTTCTGACTCTTGCTCTCGCGCTCGCGCTTGGCATCCCTCCTCCCTCCTTCCCTATTTCCACAGTTTCAAGACAAACACATCAGACATAAAGATGCACACATATGACGCATCTATAGGATGGCGATAATAGTGGTGTCCACTGTCACAATATTCTGGTTCCTTCTTGGCCAAAAAAGACGACAACAACAGCAGCAGCAGCAACAGCAACGGCAACGCAACAACAGCAGCAGCAGCTGCAGCAGCAACAGCAACAGCAACAACCACAACAACAGCGCCACCGCCGCCGCCGCCACCGCCACCACCAGCAGCAGCATCAGCACCACCTCCACCGACAACAACAACTGAGCACCACCATCGTCATGATCCGCATCGGCATCTACTTTAGCATCATCGGCCAGGAGAGCAGAAAGCTTCACTCGCCCCCTTTGAGCAACACTGGTTGTATCGCTAGTCCTTACGGGTACGAATACGTCGCGCGAGAAGAAGAACCCATTCTTCAACGACGGCTGCTGCGAAACCAGTGAACTTGCAGCGGGGTCGACATTCGACATGAGATCCCCTGCCACTGTGGAAAGGACGGTCGCAGTCCGAAAAGCAAAAGTACCGGGCCTCAATCCTCAGTGATACCGTTCTACTTGCTCAGGGGAAATGTTTGTCGCCAACGGAGGAATTCGGGTAACAAAGGGGGATATGAATAACGAAGACAGCAAGACAAGCATCGCCGATTCGAGGGGCAAAGAAAAGCAGCAATTATGACTACATGCCCGGTTACCCTTGCCCACCAGCATCTCCAGAAAACCCAATCTGCAAACAACAGCCTAACCGCCAGCATGAAACTGAACGGCAGTACTAACCGCTCCCAACCAGTAACTTCTTGATCACAACAGCAAGTGCAACCAAAAGATGTAAAGCAAGCAACGGAAAATGGAATGCCAATTCGGTCCGGATGCTTGACACCTGGACCCTGCTCCTCAAGCCCAAGACTTTGCGTAATTTAAGTCATTGTCCCAGCAAACCCCAAGCCCTAACACCTCTGAGGGCTTGGGGCGTAAGCTTCGTAAACCCGACAAATAACCTTGAACAAAGAAGCTGGACGACGGGGTCCAGGGCCAAAGCAATTTCACAGAGCTTTGCTCGCATGAGCGGGGAGGAGTAATCGCACTTCAGGCCATCCTGTACAGCAAGGGTGCTGGGCTTCTGGAATCCATTCTCTCGGCTGCTTCTACTTCTCCATTCGTGGAAATTCAGAGATGTGCACGCATGTATGTAAGAACAGCCTCAAGTAAAGACAAGGATACTGGGATGCCGGGTTTTATCTGCCGGCGTTATCGAGATGACCCAAGAGAGCCTACTGTTGAGGTGTAAAACAGCTAGTATTGGCATCCCGCTTTCGGCCCTGTATAGGCAAGCTGCAATACACCCCAAAACTTCCGCACCCTAAACCCTTTTTGCATACCTACCCTAAACCCGAAACCCTCAACCCGTACGAAGCCTGTTGCAACCCTAAACCCTAAACCCTAAACCCAAAACCCAAACCCTAGGTTAAGCCAGGGGCTGAGGAATCTCCATGCTCTAAAGGCCGAGGCCTCCAGAAGGAGGTGCTTGCCACTCGTGGCAAAGCGGTGAGGCTGATTTAGCCGGAGGACCTCCCGTCAGAGGGGGGAGGGTGGAAGTGACAGCTTAAGGGTTTAGGGGTTCGAACCCTGGCAACCCGTTCAAAATTTAGGGTGTTGTGTGGGTTTTTAGGCGCTCATGGGTCTGGGGCCTAGGGTTTGGACTCTCGCAACCCGTGTTCTCCCCCCGCTTCGCTGACCAAGTCGCACTGCGTGGAACCTGCTCTGAAAGACGCGTGCAAGTCTCAGGATTAAAGTCACATCCTCCCCAGACACACCCCATGGGAGGATTTGGATTTCAGGCACTGCCCGGGCTCTTACATCGGGCTTCAGACACTGAAGACAGTTAGGCTCCTGCTTGGGGGTCCCCATATTAACTAATTGTCTAAAACTTCCGTTTCGGCTTGAATAGGCTTTACGTAACAAGAAAGCAAACACAGCACACTGCGGGCACACGTGTTGCAAACAATAGCATGACATAGTGGCCTTTTGTTGCCTCCTACATGGCTGAGCGAGTCGCGAACCAAGTAGGGCACTTTAAGAATATACCCTAAACCCTAAACCCTAAACCCTAAACCCTAAACCCTAAACCCTAAATCCTAGCCTTTAAGAATGAGGACTCCGGGTCTTGGCTTGAGCCCCCAATGCATGTCGAGACTTCCGGGGGCGACTTTGTGCCCAGCTCTCGGCCTCTGCCTTGGACACCTCAAGCCTGGGATGCTTGTTGTTTGGGTTTAGGGTTTAGGGTTTAGGGCTTAGAGTTTAGGGTTTAGAGTTTAGGGTTTCAGCACTCACTCTCGAACATGTCTAGGCGAGGTTCCTGGTACACGACGATTTGCACTTTGGCACAAGGAATGGCACGTATCACCACCCCCATAAATGCATTAACTGCTACTTGTGCTTCAAGCTTACAAGCGCTTCAAGGTCTACCGCATTCTACCGCGGTCACTGATCTAGCTCGAACTAGGCAAAGAGGCTCACAAGGGCTGATGCTGCTCACAGTATGTACACTGTACTGGGAATAGCCGTCTCGTTCTGTCACATCCTCACATGCAGCTGTATTCCTTGCACAAATCCTTGTTCCACTCACATTAAAGACACTTGGAGGCCCTTTTGACTTAGTAAGTAGGGTTAGTAAGGTGGGTTATGGGGTTTCCAATAGGGTTTCTAGGGGATACTAAGTAAACTTACTAAGTCAAAAGGGCCTCCAAGCAAGGCTTTCATGCAGTCTGCTGTATAGCTTCTCATGCAGTAAATTCCACATCCCACACCACAAGCCCACGCCGTACATGCCCGTTTCGCTCCTCATGGCACGATTCGCCGCATAGGGTGCTTCTACCCTCCCATCCCTGTTTTGGGCCCCCAGCAAGACCACCTGATGGCGAAAGTACCCGTGGCTGCTCCCGGCTGTGCAGCCGCCGATGCGGCTGATATCAGCACGACTGAACCGCCCCCGGCGATAGCTCCGCTCAAAAAGGACAGCAGAATCTCAGCCCCATCCCTCGTGGTGGAAAAGAACGCACGCTCGGTCCTGCACGCGTAGAACGCCACGACCTGGTTACCTGGCGCCCCTTTGCTCTCAATCTCAGTGCCTTGGACCAATCCGCTCGCGCGAGCAATCGACGCCGACACCGGGGAGCAGGTCCCGCACAACTGCGCGTGGAATGTGGATGATGCGAAGATCACCGGCAGGCCGAGAGAAAATGCCTCGTACAGCTTGCTCAGGTAGCCAGTTTCCACTGTGGCTCCCGTGTACGGCCCCCATGGGCCGTTTATGTACACCGCTTTCACACCGGCCGTGTGTTTTTCGATGCTATCCTCGAGTGACTCCTCAATGATCTGTGGCTGCTGGCTTCGAGCACGAACTCATTCGCCGCGAGGTCGACGCCTTCGACGCGCGAGTGGAGGCGAGCCGTGGGTGCATAACACATAGCGGCCCTCTTCAATTCCGCGATCAAGGATGCCGTTTTGTCTTTCGCCTCGTCGGGGCAGCCCTGTTTCGCTCCGCGGCCATGCGTTTGCGCGTGCACGGCGCGACGAAGCTGGGCCACGGCCGACTGAGTTAGGACGAGGCATGAAATGGCGACCGTGGGCGTCAGCGGACCCGTTAGCACCTTCTCCAGTTCCCCCAGCTTCGCCGTCGCAATTGGGGACACGCTATGCCCAAGAGCCTGAGCCGCCGCCGCTGCTTGATCCACGGTCGGTGAGGCGCCTTCGACGTACTCGGCGATTAAATCAGCGATCGATTTCACCGAGGACGCGAGCTGAGATAATTCACCTGTGGACGCGGCCCCGTAGGTGACCCTTGATGCCATAATCAAGGCTGTGTTCGCAAGGAGTGACGCCACCTGGTCGGCTGTGCAGTGGCGTTCGTCGTGATCCCTGCTGGAGGCGTCTGAACGGCGGTCGCCATACGAGGCCTTTCCACTTTGAGACCTGCTACAGACACCCTTCCAAAAGTCAAGCTCGGCTCCTCTCAGCTCGTCAATAGATGCGGCGGATCCGACCGCGTCCAGCATATCCAACATCGTCGGCAAGTCACAGTGACCCGCCGTGTAGATCCTGCACGTGGATCCGGCGGGCAATGCAGGGATTCTCGTGGCTGCGGTCACGTCGACAGACATACGGGAGTCTTCGACCTCAGTTGAGGCCCGGCCTTGATCGCGAAAAGCACCCGGAAATGAATAGGGCTTTGCGTTCACGGCCCAGACTGTCGTCAAGCGCTCATCGGCGGCGTGCGGGAGACTTTGAATCGGGTATATCCAAGACCAAGCGGGGCTTGACTAACGCCTTCGGCGGAGGCCAGCGGCACCCCCTCCCTTCATGTTGTCCAAGAGCCGACTACCACCATGGCTTGCCATGGCGCGTGCGGCTCGAAAGCGACCCGGGTAGGCTTCCAGAGATCTGACCTAGGCCGGGGGAAATAAAAAGAATCCTTCTCTTCCTAATGGAACCTTGAGCCAAAATGGTAGAGTTTAGGGTTTAGGGTTTACTGGGGCTCCCAGCTCCTTGGAGCCAGGCCCTGCTAGGCTGCTGGAAACCCTCTTCGATTCGAACCGATGCTAAGTTTTTCGTGAGCACACAGCTGTGAGACAGCCCAAAAAAAATCTGAACCTCCCCAGCTCAACAGGGGGGGGGGGGGGGGGGTGCAAGTCCTAAGGCCAGGGATGGAACCCACTTTCAGGACCTGAGGCGGGCTTCCGGATTTTAGCTTACCGCTCGCCTGGCGCGTGTACATTAGCACGTTGCGCATTGAGAGCCAAGATTGCATCC